AAGGGTATTTGGGTTTGAGGTAGATCTTGGATTGCACTTAAATTCAAAAAGTGATCTCATACTTAAGAAGGTTGGAGATAACTGCATTAGGGTGACCGTATTTATAAAAGTAAAATCAGGACACCATTTGGGGCTGGTCAGAGCCAAAATCCCTTAGCCCAAGACCAGACCCTGTGCCCCTGCCTGGTGAAAAGGAGGGAAGGAGGGAGGACGGAGTGAGCATTGGAGGGCCTGAGAGAAGGGGCAGGAAGGGGAGGTAGGGGCAAGCATATTTGGGTCTGAGGTAGATCTTGGATTGCACTTAAATTGAAAAAATTATCTTGTGCTTAAAAAGGTTGGAGACCACTAGTGTAAATGATGTTTTCTTCCTCTTTTCTGACACTTTACAAACAGGAGTGACTGTTCTATAAAATGAGTGATCATTTGTTCTAAAAATTTAGTTGAACTAATTTTTTTAAAATTAACCCTACATATATTGTTGGCATGGTGGAGTCTGTACCATTAAATCTGTTTCCAGTTTGACAAATGCCCATACTACTTCTGCTCCTCTGCTGAAGCAGTAATGTCAATAAAGCTACACCTGCAATATCTTAATGGATTTTTTCCTCCTTCCTTTTGAACAAACGTTATGAAAATTCTTGGCACATCAGCAGCAGTCCTGTTTAAGCCTGCATGGTTGTTTGAAAGTTTATTTAGAGGAGCATGTTAGCATCTGTAAAAACAGTTATGGTAGGGAGAAAGCTTTTGTAAGTGAACTGAAAGTTGGGAAAACCTAACCACAGCCACAACATCAGAGGGTCATACAACTGCACATCTTCTAATGCAGTGGGTCTCAAACTTTTTGGCCCATGGATCACCTGGCTCAATGCATACATTTCTGTGGACCACTGACGCTCACTGATGTGGCCCCCAGCTGAACCACTTCTAGCCCCAAACTTCCCTGCCACACTGGCTTGTGGAGAGTGGCAGGGCAAGGTAACTTAAGGCAGTGAAATACATGAGCTAGCAACTTAGGTGCAAGACTGCTCTTGAACACTTCGCTTTCATAGCTGCCTCTTGTTCAGTTTTCACCCTTGATGAGGACAAATCCCAGAATGATCCTTCAGCTGGAGCCAGCTACCAGAGTTGTTCCTTTTCTTACAATCACTGGGGAAAGCAGTGGAGGGCAAGCAGATCAGGCTAGTGAGCTGGTGGGTGGGGGTGGGGGTGG